TCTGCCCAGTGGGCAGGAGAGGGGGCAAGGGCGGACGGGGCGGCCGCGGAGGCACTGCCTGCACACACAGGTGTTCCCCGAGGCCCGCGTCGATGCTCGCCCCGGGTCGGCGCCGGAGCCACCGGGCATCGCCTCCAGCGCCGCCCGTGGCGCGCTCCGCGCGCCTGGGGGGAGGTCTCCTCCATCCTCCTCCTCCTCCTCCTCCTCCTCCTCCTCCTCCTCCTCCTCCTCCTCCTCCTCCTCTTCCTCCTCCTCCTCCTCCTCCTCCCCCTCCTCTTCCTCCTCCTCCTTCTCTTACTCCTCCGCGCGCCTGGGGGGAGGTCCAGCGCCGATCCAAGCAAGGTGGGCGGACCTCCGAACGTGTACGTTTGTGCAGCCGTGCCCGCTTTTCTGCTTCACTTCTGCTTCGTCGTCGTCGTCTTTGTGTGTTCTTCTTCTCCTGGAGCGACCCCTGGATGAAGAGCTGGTCCCAGGGAGGGGGCGGAGAGGACGGGCCCAAAGATGTCGCGCCATCGGAGGCCCGGGTCTTCTCGCTTCCTGGTTTTCCTCCCCACTCCCCCAAGCCTCCCACACCCATTCCTTCGGTAGCAAATGCTTGGAGCCTGGTGTACCCTCTCAATTCCGTCTTCAGCGTCGACCAGCGTCTGGGAGTCGATGAGGTAGGTAGCGGCGGTCTAGCGTCGGCTAGCGTCGATGAACGCCGATTGAGCATCGATTGGCGTCGAATCAGCGTCGATTAGCGTCGATCTAGCGTCGACGACCGTCGATTCGCAAGAGCCAGCAATATGGTATGGGAGGCTTCCATGAGTTGCCACCGAACGTTCCACCTCCTCTCACCGTCATCATCAGTCGCCCCCCGCTCGCTTCCACCACACTTTCCTCTCTGTCCTCCACTGTTCCTTTCTTGGCCTTCAACTTCGCTCTTGGCTCGCTCTCCTTCCTTCTGCTGCTCCGGATCCTCCTGCGCCTGCAGGGCATGGAAGGGCCTGGCGAGGATTTCTGGACAGGCCTGGAGAGAGCTTCCGAAGGATCTTCTGCAGAGCTTCCGGGCACGCGTTTTGGGAAACGCTTAGAGAAGGCCCCGCGGGACAGGCTGCGAGTTCAAGCAACGTCATCATTATCATTCCCGTAAACCAGGGTCTTCTCGTCCCCCGCACCCGTTCGGTTGATCCACGCCTCCAGCACGCTCAGCATGTTTGCCCCCCCTTGTTTTCTAGCATCCTGCCCAGGAGTGCGTCGATGTGTGCTCCGTGCCTGGAGCGTGCTTCTTTATTGCTTGGGGCATAACGGGCATTAGAGCCCCCGGCCACCCTCCCCTCCCCCCTATAACGTACCCCCCCCCCAGTGCGCTCCGGGCACTGCCGTCGTGCGCACGGCGAGGGGGAGGCGTTACATTATCCCCCCCCTGCCCCCTCCCCCTATAATGCCCAGTATCGCCGGAGCGCTGCTGGGCAAGCAATGTTTCAGAGCCGGGTCGCGCGCCCCAGGGGTTTGGTGTGGAAGTGGCGCGTCGAGGTCCCCTCGCCTAAGGAGTGACTGTCTGGCGTCCTTGCTCCCCCCGACTGCTCATCGTCGAACTCTTCGGCGTCTGAGCGTCCCTTCTTCCTGTCGGCCGGTCTACCCCCCTCTCTTTGCTCGCCGGCCAATTCGCTAGTTAGTGCCCCTATCTAGCTCCTTGCTGGAGCGGAGTTCGCCGCCTCGCCACCGACGAAACAAAACTGTTTTGCGTCATTGGGGCACCTTGGGACCCACTCGCGCCATCTTGCCGCAATCCTGGCACCGTCTCAGGCGCTCTGCAAGGCATCTCTCGGTGTGTGGAGACTGTCTCGAGCGAAACCGCTGTGCATGAGCCTCGGCTTTCGAGCATCTGTAGGTCCCCCCCTCGGCAAAGTCGTGGTAGACCCTTGCAGCTCTGAGCACTGTAGAAAGAGCTGCAGCCGACGCCACGGGCAAGGGACCACCTGCCATCCCCGGCAGCATCTCAGCACTCAAGGCGCATTCGCTGGCTCACTCGAACACGTGCACCTGACCTGGTTCTTGGGAGGAAAAGGGGGGCGGGGGGGGGGGGGAATGGCAGGAGGGAGAGGAGGGGGAGCGAGGAGGCAGCGGACTGGCAGGCGCGGAGGAGAAGTAGGAGGCGCGAGAGGTAGAGGCGGAGCAAGGGCAGGCGGAGGAGAGGGACGAAGTAGGGGGCTGAGGGGCCCTGGAGGAGGAGGCGAGGTGGCACACGCGGAGGAGGAGGAGGAGGAAGAGCAGGAGGATGAGGAGGAGGAGGAGGAGGAAGAGGAGGAGGAGGAGGAGGAGGAGAAGAAGGACGAGGAGGATGATGATGATGATGAGGAGGAGGAGGAGGAGGAGGAGGAAGAGGAGGAGGAGGAGGGGGAGACGGAGGAGGATGAGGAGGAGGAGGAGGAGAAGGAGGAGCAGCAGCAGCAGCACTAGATTGCAGGTGGGCCCGCCCCCCCCCTTTCCCGGGCTATGGCATGTTTCTTGTGTCCCTCCCTGACGAGGAGGGCCCCTTTTTATGGACGGGAGACCCTTGCCCTGCCAGAACACGCATGGTTTTTCTGAAGCCAAAGCTTGCTCGACCAGATAGTTCTTCCCTCTCTCTACCTCTCTCTCCTTCTTGTTTTCTTGGTGCTGTGCTGTTGGACCTACCTGGACCATATGTGGCCACTCCTACGGATCGTGATCTAGAGGACAGCTCTCACGATGATTCGTTCGAAGCCAGCCTCCTAGTCGATGTAGTGTACGACCTGGCCAAATTCTCCAGCGAATTTGGCTGTGGCTGCCCAGTGAGCGAACTCAGGGAACAAATTGGCAGCAGTTCCACGATCGACTCCATCCAGGAGGCATGCCAGGCCTGGGAGGCACTCGGGGGCTTCTCCTGCACTGAAGGCGGATACTGGCTCAGCACGAGCTAGTCGCCTGCTCCCTCCCCTGCTGCAGTTGCAGTGTAAATCTCATTCTTGTTCAGCCGAAGCCTTCGCGGAACCCCGCGGGCGAACATGCTGTTTCCCCTCCCTCCTGTTTCTCCTCTCTTTCTTTTTTCGCACTCGTTTCAGCGGTCCCCCGACTTCCCCCATACGTCGGTGGTCGCGAGCCTCAGGCTGGGACGTTCGCGCGACCGTCGGCTTCGGGGCCTCCACGAGGGGTGGGGGCTCTCGGCCCGCCATAAGGCAGGGACATCGTGCCGCATTGTATGACCCCTATGTGTTGCAATCGTTTTTGTTGACGAGTTATGCCAGTTCAGAGATCGGCGATAATGCGGTGCAAGCATATATATATATATATATATACACATGCATACATGCACATATATACACAATACATATACATATACATATATGCACACATATACATACATGTGTGTACAACTGTACACGTTTACAGCTGACTGTAATTACATGTGCGCCGCATATGTATGCCTCTCGCTCTATTGGTCTCCCGCTCTTGTTTCCTCCTCCTCGTTCACAGACTTCTCGCGTGTTGCAAGAAACCGTTCAGGGAGGTTCTTAATCAGGGGGCCCTTACGGTGCCCCGGGATGTCAACGCAATCTTTCGGGATGAAGCGTCTGTCCCAAGAAATGTGTTTCTCGGGTCCAAGTTGCGAACCCCGCAATTGATTATCCCCGCCATGTGATTTATCAGGGGCATAGGGGTATCTTGCGTGTCCTTCCCTCTTTTTCCCCTCCTCTTCTCCCTCCACCTTCCCGCGTGTTGTTCCTCCTCCGTTTTCGCCTCTTCGCTTCACCCGTGGCTTGGCCCGCCTTCAGGGCGACTTTCGTTCAGAACTTCTGGGCGGGTGGTTCAATGCCCTTAACGCACGGGGGCTGCGCGGGGAACTTATATCGCTATCTTTCTGATTGTCATTTTCACTTGGAGGAGTAAGACGGTAGAGATGAGTAGCGTAAGATGGGGGGGCCAAGAGGAGCACGACAGGGGTAACCCCAGTATGCATCAACAGTGTTGCGACCAACCCTCCTGTTCGAAGTCTGAACAACTTTCTACACGTATTTCTTTCTAGTACGGGGGAACGCCCCCTTGAAAGACAACTTGCCCGTGGGCGTGCCATTCATGTCCAAGTGAATGGAGTCAGCTACCTTCAACCATCTTTGGCACCGTAGGGGTGCCAATATGTAGATGCATTCGGTTGACTGAAGTTTCCAGCAATAGGGCCACCTTGAAACGAATCGCCCGTCAAAAGCGAACGTGTTGTGTGTGCATATGTATGTGCTTCTACACACGCACTTATTCTATGCATTTGTATTTGGCCGCATCCAAACATACCTGCATACATGCATACCTACATCCATACACGCAGACATGCATACATGTATGCATGCATACATACATACATACAATCATACACACATACATACATGCATACATATACATATATACGCACACATGCATACATACATACTGACAGGCAAACAGGCCGACAACTACAGCCATACCGTCAGACAAACAAACAGGCATACATACTTACATGTATGCGCGCATGCATGCACACACACGCACATGCATACGCACATGCATGCATGCATACATGCATACGCACACCTACCTAGAGACAGGCATCCAAGCAGACAAGCATGCATACAGCCAGGTACAGACAGACAAACAGACAGATATACATGCGTACCCGCATCCATGCATACATGGATACACGCTTGTCTATATACGCAGATGTACACATACATACATATATATATGTAGATACGCATTCGTTTGTAATGTATATATACATAGCTATATGGGCAGCCAAGTAATAACACAAACAAGACAGTCTCAAGCGAGAGCCCGATTTCAAGCTAAAACCGTCCTGCGGCAGCATGGCCGTTGCAAACGTTGCCTTGAAAACCCACGCGCCCCCTGCAGATGCACAAGAGTGTATGTGATTTCAAGCTTCGGGCCTTCCGTATACGTGTTGCGAAGGCGTCTCGCTGGTGAAACGTCCAGAGCACGCCCCGCCGACACGTCCTGTGGGCGCGACGAGGACGCAGTTACTCGTAAGGAACAGGGGTGGCTAAGTAAGAGTAGGAGGGACGGAAGCACTTGTTTCTCGTGCCCATCCGCCTGTTCTCGCCCAGCCATGCTTCGGCGCGAGTCCCAAGCGCCAGCGACCCGGGCTTTTCCCAGCCTTCCGCCCCGCGGCGCGGAGCGACACGCTCTCAGCCCGCAGGGCAAAGCGCGTCACCAGGGCCGCCGCCGAGGCACGCCGAAGACGAGGTCCTGCCCGCATCGGGGGCAGGGGCCACGAAGATGGAAACCGAGCAGGTGGAGGAGGACGGGAGGAGGAGGGGAGGAGGTGGATTTGCACGTCGACCGTGGCGCAGCCCACATGCGCCCGAGGAGGTGGGCCTGACCTCCCGTACAGGGTCGACTGCACGTAAAGGTGACCTGTTGCCGGAGTGATCGTTGGCGCGGGCAGACTGAGGCCGACAGATTATTGGATTCGATGCGATTGCCGCGGCTTGCGCGCTAGGGTTTGGCCCCTCCCTCCCCCCCGCGCCCACCTAGGGCTGCGCACCACAGGTCACTCTTTGCCTAGGGTCACTCTTGCGTGTAGCCCATAGGCGCCTCCCACCGTCTAAGACGAGGCTCCACCCCTGGGGCAAGGTGGCGAGGCGGAGGAGGGGTGGAGGAAGAGGATGAAGGAGGAGGAGGAGGAGGAGGAGGAGGAGGAGGAGAAGGGGAAGGACCAGGAGGAGGAGGAGACGGAGGAAGGGGGAGGAGGAAGGAAGGGGGAGGAGGGAGGAGGGGGAGGAGGGATGAGGAGGAGAGTAGGAGAGGTTCGAGGGCCGCTTTCGCTGAGACAGAGATCCGCCGGTCGAAGTTCGGAGGCCCGGGAGGGGAGGAGGTGGAGGTGGAGGAGCGGGAAGCCAGGTGTGCTTCGACGTGCCTCGGGCGGGCATCTCGCTGATGGGCGCCGCGCCGCGCAGCGCTGCCGCCCCGGCGGCGTCGTCTGGGCTGCCGCCCATGCCTCCCGAAGCCTCACTCCTCGGGCCGAAAAGGATCGAACTTCGATCCTCGATCCCCATCAGCCTGATCGAGGATCGACCTTTCCGATCTCGATGCCGAGGAGGGTCGATCTTCGATCCTCGATCCCCACCAGCCCGATCGAGGATCGACCTTCCAGATCTCGACGTCGAGGAGGGTTGATCTTCGATCCTCGATCCCTATCAGACTGATCGAGGATCGACCTTCCCGATCTCGACGTCGAGGAGGGTTGATCTTCGATCCTCGATCCCTATCACACTGATCGAGGATCGACCTTCCCGATCTCGATTTCGAGGAGGGTCGATCTTCGATCCTCGATCCCCACCAGCCTGATCGAGGATCGACCTTCCAGATCTCGACGTCGAGGAGGGTTGATCTTCGATCCTCGATCCCTATCAGACTGATCGAGGATCGACCTTCCCGATCTCGACGTCGAGGAGGGTTGATCTTCGATCCTCGATCCCTATCACACTGATCGAGGATCGACCTTCCCGATCTCGATTTCGAGGAGGGTCGATCTTCGATCCTCGATCCCCACCAGCCTGATCGAGGATCGACCTTCCAGATCTCGACGTCGAGGAGGGTTGATCTTCGATCCTCGATCCCTATCAGACTGATCGAGGATCGACCTTCCCGATCTCGATGTCGACGATCTCGGAGGTTTATGTTCGATCCTCGATCCTCGATGCCCATCGGCCTGATCGAGGATCGATCTTCCTGATTTCGATGTCGGGAGGGGTTTATTGTCGATCCTCGATCCCCATCAGCCTGATCGAGGATCGACTTTCCCGATCTCGCTGTCGAGGAGGGCAGATCTTCGATCCTCGGTGCCCATCAGCCTGATCGAGGATCGACCTTCCCGATCTCGCTGTCGGGGAGGGTTTGTTTTCGATCCTCGATACCCATCAGCCTGATCGAGGATCGACCTTCCCGATCTCGATGCCGAGCAGGTTTATGTTCGATCCTCGATCCTCGATGCCCATCGGCCTGATCGAGGATCGATCTTCCTGATTTCGATGTCGGGAGGGGTTTATTGTCGATCCTCGATCCCCATCAGCCTGATCGAGGATCGACTTTCCCGATCTCGCTGTCGAGGAGGGCAGATCTTCGATCCTCGATGCCCATCAGCCTGATCGAGGATCGACCTTCCCGATCTCGCTGTCAGGGAGGGTTTATTTTCGATCCTCGATCCCCATCAGCCTGATCGAGGATCGTCCTTCCCGATCTCGATGCCGAGGAGGTTTATGTTCGATCCTCGATCCCCACCTGCCTGATCGAGGATCGACCTTCCCGATCTCGATGTCGGGGAGGGCTTATTTTCGATCCTCGATGCACATCAGCCTGATCGAGGATCGACCCTCTCGATCTCGATGTCGGGGAGGGTTTATTTTCGATCCTCGATACCCACCTGCCTGATCGAGGATCGACCTTCCAGATCTCGATGTCGGGGAGGGCTTATTTTCGACCCTCGGTGCACATCAGCCTGATCGAGGATCGATCGTCCTGATCGAGGATCGCCGAGCCCGCTCGATTTGGGTTCATATTCTTGATCCTCGATGCACCCCCGCCGCCGCTCACGCAGCGAGAGCGGCCAGGCTGCGCCCAGGGCATGGCGTCCCTGTTCACAGGCGATTTCGCCTCCAATCTCCACAAGTGGTCCCCACCAAATCGTGAGGGAACGACTCACAGACTCAAACACTCGCCGATCGCCAGGAAAAGATGTGAACAAATGTAAGAGATGTTATATCTATACATACATACATACATACATACATACATACATACATACATACATATATATATATATGTATATATATATATATATATATGCAGGGTCCTTGGATGTGGGTCCATTTATTTGCGTCTCCTTCGGCCCCTTCAAAGAGGTGGCCGCTCAGACAAGAGCGGAAACTTAGGGATACGTCACCAGGGGGCTGTTTGGACGCACCGCTTTCGAGGATGGGCGCCACCCTTTCGCAGATCCACCAGTGGGGCCCAGATGTCTTGTCCAGTCGAGCCTTCTGCCAAGCCCGGGACTGGTGTCGCCACGCGCCCCGTTGCCTGCCCCATCGAACCTGGGCGCCGTGAGAGAAGTCCGCGGTGGTCCGCTGGAGCCCCTTCCGCAGGCCCAGGGGCCCTCGGGCCCGAAGAGTCCCTCGGAGGGGCTGGGCCGGGATTTCTGGCCCCGATCCGACCACAGCGCCGTAATGTGCCCGCAGCGTCGGATGCCGGGGTCCGCTTCCTGGGCGATGGCCTGGAGCGCTCCCGCAGTCTCGGCGTACTGCCAGGCCCTGGGTGAGCGAAGTGGGCGTAACCTACGACGCCAAACGAGCTTCTGATTGTGGTCGAAGACCGGCCAAGTGCAACAAATCCCGTTCAGTCTAAGTTTTCCTCGTTTAGTCTTGCCGAATGCTGGGGTTCGGCTGGGCTGGTCTGGTTCGGTGGCCCCTTTCATCGTCTCTCGCGGACCCGAAATCTGTCGTGCGAAGACCTCCCAGGAGCTGCATCCTACCATTCAGCGCGTCGCCTCCACGCGTGCGTCGTGCCGTGTGTGCTCCCAGCCCCGCGACAGTCAGCCGCGCGCAGAGGGGGGTGGAGGGAGGGCTTCTTGGAAACACCCCTACTTAGAAGGCGGGGGCCTCGTCTGTAGATGTGAGGCCGGCGCCTTCGAAGAAGCAGCCTCCTTCTAAGAAGCCCCCCCCCCTCCCTCCACCCCCCTGTGCGCGCCGCCAATGAGTCGTGCCGTGTGTGCTCCCAGCCCCGCGACAGCGCAGGGCTTGCGAAGGGTTCCGCCCGGGCCCTGTGCGAAACGCGCTGCCGCCGCGACACGCGCAGGGCCGCCCACGCAGGGGGCGCGCGGCGGCGGGTTCCTGCTGCAGTGCGGGGACAGCTACGGCGACTGGCGCCGCGTGCTGCTTTCGCGCAGGCGGGAGTGGGTCTTCCTGCAGGTGTCCGAGGATCTAGGCTTAAGTCGGGCCTGTCGCTCCACAGAAGAAGCATTCAAAAATAGTAAAAGAACAGTCGGGGACGATTTTTCTAGCATGTTTTGGCTATGTTTGAGCATGTTTGGGGTTTTCTTAGTTTTCGTCCAAAATCCAACTGTACGGGGACAGGCCCGACCTAAATCTAGGCCTCCTGGATGGGGTCGGAGTAGATGGGGTCGGAGGATCGCGCCGCGTCGCCGATGCATCGCCGATGCGGCTCGATGTGCAGCCCGATTTTCTCCACGCCGACGTCGCCTATGCATCGCCGACGTCGCCGATGCATTGGCGATGCGGCGCGCTCCTCGGACCTGATCCCATCCGACCCCACATCAAGGAGGCCAGTAGTCTGCTGGCGGGGATCCGAGGAATAGACAACTAAGTAAGCAGAAGCTTGTCGCCGTGTTCTTGTCCATTGTTTTGCCGATCCGCGCGGGCCCTCGCACCCCCTCCCCCCCCCCTCCCCGTGGAGTAGATCTCGGCTGTTTCTGGCGCCTGTGTCAAGCGGGTGGAGTATCTCCCCCATAGGACGCACGGTTCCAAGAAGTCGCAGTAAGCAGAGGTCCAGAGCCAGACCCCTCCCTCCTCCACCCCCTCCCTTCCCCCTTCCGCCCAATGTAGAAACGCCGAATAAGAAAAGAAACTCTCATCTTCCAGAGGCCCGCGCGGACTTTCCTCGGGCCTGGCGCCGTAGAGACCTCCCCCCTGGCGGCGCCTCTGGCGCAGCCCTGGCGCGCGGAGTTTGCGCTCCAGGGGAGGGTGGGGGGTTCCGCGATGGCCGAGGGCCGCGATGCCAGGAAAGCCCCGTCGCACCTCCTTCCTAGCGCCCCTCATGGTAGCACGATGGCCGTCATGTTGTTCTCCTGCTGCTGCGGACATGTTTTTCTGGTCGGCGGGCACACAACCCTCACGAGGATCGTGGCCCCATAGGGAGCTCCACCGAAGGCGCCAGTGGCAGGGTTCGCATGGCGGCCTCGGGCCATGTCGGCACACCCCTCACGACGATCGTGGACCCAAAAAGGGACCTCCACCGAAGGCGCCAGTGGCAGGGTTCGCATGGCGGCCTCGGGCCATTTCGGCACACCCCTCACGAGGATCGTGGCCCCATAGGGAGCTCCACCGAAGGCCCTAGTGGCAGGGTTCGCATGGCGGCCTCGGGCCATGTCGGCACACCCCTCACGAGGATCGTGGCCCCATAGGGAGCTCCACCGAAGGCCCCCAGTGGCAGGGTTCGCATGGCGGCCTCGGGCCATTTCGGCACACCCCTCACGAGGATCGTGGCCCCATAGGGAGCTCCACCGAAGGCCCCCAGTGGCAGGGTTCGCATGGCGGCCTCGGGCCATTTCGGCACACCCCTCACGAGGATCGTGGCCCCATAGGGAGCTCCACTGAAGGCGCCAGTGGCAGGGGTCGCATGGCGGCCTCGGGCCATTTCGGCACACCCCTCACGAGGATCGTGGCCCCATAGGGAGCTCCACCGAAGGCCCCAGTGGCAGGGTTCGCATGGCGGCCTCGGGCCATGTCGGCACACCCCTCACGAGGACCGTGGCCCCACTGGAGCTCCACCGAAGGCGCCAGTGGCAGGGTTCGCATGGCGGCCCCGGGCCATTTCGGCACACCCCTCACGAGGATCGTGGCCCCATAGTTGTGCTGCTTCAACAACCGCGCCTGGGCGTCGTACTCCGCCTTGTCGACGTGCAACGCCACCTCCTCCCTCATGGCTCTCAAGGCCCTTTCCTGCTTCTGCTCCTCGGTGAGAGGGACGCCGTCCTTGTCGTCGTCGGCGCCCGCGAAGACGGCCACGAACGTGTCCCTGAGCATGTCGGGCTCCAGCGGGAAGCCGTGGCCACATAGGGAGCGCGGGCGAAGATTATTCACAATTGCGGTATTCACAACTGCATATGGTTGGGTCTTTCGCCAGGATAATTTTCGACCGCTTGGCAACTAGTGGCCCGAAGGCGCCATCATCGACGCCCCGTGGCTTGGTCGCCTCAGTTCTGCGCAGCCAGTGCAGTGATCACCCATGCCAGTGTAGTGATCATTTTGGCATTTCGGTGGCATGATGGCGGTGGTGACGATGGCGCTGACGACGGTGAAGAAGGCGACGTCGATGACGGTAACGATGGTAGTGGTGGTGATGATGATTGACATCTTGGTGATGATTGGGTTGATGAGCATGGTAATTGCCATGAGGACGCTTATGATGATGAGCCAGGCATACCCCGGAGCAGTTTGCTTGCAGGGGAGCCCCATTAGCCGACAGTTTAAGACTCCGAATATCCGTAAGGGTTTCGCCCCTGCCGTTGGCCCCTCTTTATCATAATGGGATATATCAGAGTCGCGTCGGTGCGTCTCGGCGCTGCCTGGACGCGTCTGGGAACATCATGCGGGGGCGAATAGGAATCATCAGCGCCTATTGAGACGTTGGCGTTACCGAAGACGCCCACGGCGAATCACCGCCGCCCACTGCCTTTTTTGGAAGCGCCTGCGTGGCCGAAAGTTGGGTTAGAGCTTGTCCAAGCTATCGGGCCATGCGTTCCTCGACCGCAAATGCGGGTGCTGGGGTCCGGGTCCGCCTTTGGGAGGCGCGTAGGATCGCCCCGGGGAGCCCTCAGACAGCAGTCCCGGCGGCCCCGGACGGTCGCGAGACACCCTGCTGCCGAAGATGGCCCCACGATGGTCCAAAAAGGCCCCGAGAGGCCTCCAAGAGTACTCCCGAAAGGGTCCCAAGAGACCGAATTCGTTACATTCCTGCAGGCGAAACGTTCATTTTAAGCATGTACTGCTTGGGGGCCTTCACAGCTTTAAAGGCGGTCCCAAAGGCGCTCGAGACTTCCCCAAGCGAACCGAAGACGCTCCCAAGAGGCCCCCCCAAGATAGCCCAAGAGGGCGCCAAGACTCCCAAGGCCGACTAAGACGGCTCCAGGAGGGGTCCAAGAGGGGAACTCTCCGACTCGAAAGTTGCAGCCGCCCAAAGAACTTCCCAGGAGGCCCCAAAAGCCCACAAGAGGCCCCAAGAGGTTCCCAAGAGACCCCCAAAAGGCCCAATGAGGCCCCAAGATGGCTTTAAACGGATAGGACGGCTTCCAAAAGGTCTCCCAAAGGGGTCCAAAGATGTCTTCTTGCGGACCGAGGCCCCGGACGGTCTCGAGACACCCTGCTGCCGAAGATGGCCCCAAGATGGTCCAAGAAGGCCCCGAGAGGCCTCCAAGAGTACTCCCGAGAGGATCCCAAGAGACCGAATTCGTTACATTCCTGCAGGCGAAACGTTCATTTTAAGCATATACTGTTTGGGGGCCTTCACGGCTTTAACGGCGGTCCCAAAGGCGCTCGAGACTTCCCCAAACGAACCGAAAACGCTCCCAAGAGGCCCCCCCAAGATAGCCCAAGAGGGCGCCAAGACTTCCCAAGGGGCTCCAGGAGGGGTCCAAGAGGGGAACTCCGATTCGAAAGTTGCAGCCGCCCAAAGAACCTCCCAGGAGGCACCCAAAGTCCGCAAGAGGCCCCAAGAGGTTCCCAAGAGACCCCCCAAAGGCCCAAATGAGGCCCAAGATGGCTTTAAACGGATAGGGCGGTCGCCAAAAGGTCTCCCAAAGGGGTCCAAAGATGTCTTCTTGCGGACCGAGGCCCGAGCGAGACCGGGACTGCTCTGGGACGTTGTACGTTTTTCGTGTTCTCGCAGTTTTGTGCTTCCGTCGGTCCAAGACAGCCCACCAGGCCCCAGAAATCAAGTCAAGACGGCCCAATAGGCACCCGAAGAGGACGCCACGACGGCGCAAGGGAGCCCCAACCCAAAACGGCCCAAGAGTGCCCCAAGACGGCCCAAGAGGCGCCCGAGATCGCCCGAAAGGGCCCCAAGACGGCCCCAAGAGGGGGAACGCGAACCGACAAGTCGAGCCTTCCGCCCCAAGAGGCCCCCAGGAGGCCCCAAGAGGCCCCCAACAGAGCCCAAGAGGCCCCCCGGAGGCCCCACGATGCCCCAAAGAGGCCCAAAAAGACGCCGCAAGAGCACCCCAAACGGAGTCGGCTAGAAACTAAGCGCGCGCGTAGCGCGCGCGTGGTTCTAGTATATATATATATATATATATATATATATATATATAATATATATCTATATGTATATGTGTTATTTGTCTGAAATCCGCCTGTATCGGAGGACCTGCCCGACCTGAGCCAAGTCTGGCCTGGGCCATCTTGGGGGCGATCTTTCGCCGCAGCAGGTCCGCGTCGCGCCGGCGCGGCGGCAGCCCTGGCGCGGGCGTGCCCGGCAGAGAGAAGCGAACGGCCCAGGAGCGGCCAGACCTGTCGGTGTCAGGAACCAGCGCCGAAGTCGCCGCGACGCGAACCCGCCGTTTTTGGAGCCGCCTCTCGCATCTGTTTGGAGTCTCTGGAGCCCAGCAGGGACGCCTGCGAGCTCGGAGAGCACCCATCTTGCCAAAGACTGGGCTCGAGACAAAAGACCTGCGCCATTCCGCCGACCTGGAGGAAGGCGGCGGAATGTCGGCGGAAGGCGGCGGAATCAACACTAGGCCGCTTCCGCCAGCGGAAGGCTGGCGGAAGCCAACGGAAGCAAAAATCGGCTCCCCAAGAAATGGCAATCTTTCAGCCATGCAGTGGGAACCCATGCCAAGAAACAGCCTGCTCGCCTCCAGTCTGCCCTGGGTTTCTTGGGTTTCGATGTTTCTGCTATGAACAGTTTGACGTTCGCACACCAAAAATCAATGGACGTCCTGGGGTTTCCGGGTTGCGTTTCTTGTGGAGGGTTTGGTGTGGTCAGATTCCTATTGTCTGTGTTGCTTGCCGCTTCCCCTCCTGCTTCCTGCGTGTAGATGTTGCTGATTTGCCTTCTTCTCTTCATCCATGCCAGTTGGGTTTTTTTTCGGGGACCTCTTGGAGGCGTCGGAGGCGGCCCCGTGGAAGCCTTTTCGGTTTTCTTGGAGGCTCCCTTAGGACATATTGGGGACACGTTTGGGGTCTTGGGGCCATTTTGCTTATTTGCAGACACCGGTTTGGACCAGCGGAAGCACGACTGATGTATGTGCAATCGGCGAAGTCTAAGAAGGAGGACGAAGATGAATAGAGCATTCTGCACCAGTCCCTCGTGCCCATGGCTTTGCTAAATGTTCCCGGCTACGCCGCAACTAGGTGTATTTCTCAATAGCGTCCCCCATCTTTCGAGACACTGTTCCCCCAGGCCACTGCCTGAAGTCAGGCGAGAAGAAGGCCGCCGTGGAGCCCTTGTTGTCCATATGTCGCCCACCGCCATGGACAACCTCTGGCACCTTCTTCATGTTTTCGTGCCAGCGGTGCTGCGGTCTCGTGGCGGAGCTCCGGCGAAACCAAATTGGTGAAATCTGGTATTATAGATGGCACAACAATAAAGAGACCAATGTGCTAAAAGCACGAGAGTTGATGATCCCCCCAAAAGGCTTCAGGAGACACAAAAGTTTGGGGACATGTTCGGGGCCTTGAAGATGGGCAGCGAACGTATATGTGGATTTCTGATACCAACAGACCTGGTGATCCGTCTGGCAGGTCGGGCGATGTGTCTCCGGCTTGGATTAACCGCAAGGAGCAATTATGAACTCCACCCCCCTCTCTTGCGAAAGTACAACGCACCCGGCACCCCAGAAGCGTTACCTTGGCACCTCGCACCTTTATGTGAATGCGGGCGAGTCTGCTCGCCGAAACAAGCAAACCGCCTGAGACATTTTCGCAATATGGTCTCCTTGTGGTTCTGAAACACGCGCCTCGCCTGAGACATCCTCAGAAACAGCTCTGGACGTAGACGAGTCTGCGTCAGGTGGTCGGTCTGGGCGAGAACTGGAGTGGCCGCGCGTCTTCCTAGCGCTCGTCCTTACTCACTCTGAGTTTTATTCTCATTCGTCTTATTATTCTTCTTATTCGTATGTCACTCTTATTCTTATTGATATTCCAATTCCAATTGGGATACCACCCGAGCCGTGGTGCGGGAATTATTTATGTTCGTTCCATTTGCGCGGTGTTAATCATATCGTTCGGCGAAACGGGCCCCCAGAATTACTTAATTACGGTGCTGTGCTAATATAAACCCTGGGGGGGTCCTTAATGGCTTCTTGCGGTTAGATTGTCGTTGGTCGTTGTGCTCCTGGGCTGCGATCAGGTCACCAGGTCGGCGCGGGTCCCGGGGTCGTGACTGGAGTTGATCGTGTTGTGCCGCGCTGCGTCATGCTGCTCACCAGGGTCCAGTCGTACTCCGCGAGCAGCGAGTGCCATCAGCGAGCACACGTCTCGTGCGCTCAGCTCGGCGACCTTCGAGGATATATGAAACGCGTAGGTATAAAGGAGGATGGGTAGGATGAGGAGGAGGACGGAAGAGGGAGGGAGGAGGAGGAGAAGGAGGTGGAGGAGGACGAGGAGGAGGAGGAGGGAGGGAGGGAGGGAGGGAGCAGGAGGAGGAGGAGGAGGAGAAGGATTAGATAAAAAAAGCTCATGGACATGAACGTTAAGAGGTCCGCACGGATTCATGGGGTCGGCGTTGGGCTCTTTTGCTGGCGCCTTCCAAGGAAACCCGCGCGGTCCTCCGAAACCTTATTCAAGTCGGGCATGTCCCTCTACAGAAGGAATTGTCGATAATAGTACAACAGTAGTCTGAAGATTATTGTTCGTGATCGTACTACTATTTCTGAACATGTTTTGACTATCTTTGATGTTTCTGCCAAAAGCCGCCTGTAGGAGGACATGCCCGACCTAACCTGACATTCGTTTCTAGAACGGTCCTCGCGGATTGATTTGAATCACGCGTGGTCTTCCGAAAGTTTGATCAGTTTATCTTGGCTGTTCGTTCTTCTTATCGGCGGTGCTCACTTTTGCTCCCTTCCTGGCAGCAGTCCCGCAGGCGTGCATCGCGCCGACTCGGTGGCGACGACCCCGGTGCGGGCGTTCAAGCTTGAGCGCCTCTAGTGGCCTGGCGTCGGCCAATGTCGAACAGTGTTGAACGGTCTGCGCTATCGACAAGCCACGGTCATTCAAGGCTGAACGATCCACCCAGTGTCAGAGGGCGTGAGCGCCGTCCTCGCCGCCGCCGCCGTCATCGTCGAGGCTGTCGCCGTCTCCGTTGCCGTTGCCGCCGCCGTCGGCGTCGGGTGAAGGGCCGAAGCGCCCTCGCCGCTCGCGGGCGTCAGCGTCGCCCCCGCCGTCGTCACCGCCGGGCGTAGGCTTAAGTCTGGCATGTCCCTCGACATGAGGAGTCTGGCGACGATGTCTCGATTCCTTTCAACAACAGTTTTTGGACTTCTTCCGACCATCTTGTATTGCTCTTCCAAAATCCGCCTGTGGGAGGGCATGCCCGACCTAAGCGTGAGCTGAGGGCCCGAAGCGCCCCGGCCGCCCACGGCAGGAGCCGCCGCCGGGGGCGCCGCCCTGCCGGGGGGGGCCGGCGGCCTCGAGGTGGTGCTGGACGGGCTCGCGCCGCTGGGCGGCTGGCCGGGTGCGAAATCGCGCGGCGTGCAGCCATGAGCGACGGACGACGGCAGGGCGACGGCAGGGAGGCGACGCCGCCGACGGCGACGGGGGCCGCAGGACGGCGACGGCGAGCGGCGAGCGACGACAGGAGAAAGCGACGGCGACGGCAAGCGACGACAGGATGGCGCGACGGCCATGGCGAGCGACGGCGACGGCGATGGCGACGACGACGACGACGACGCACGGTCTCGCACCCCTGGGCGGCCGGCCAGGTACCGCCGGGGTTAGCCACAGATCATTTGGTGGAGGAGGAGGAGGAGGATGAGGAGGAGGAGGAGGTAAGGGAGGAGGAGGAGGAGGAGGACGAGGAGGAGGAGGAGGAGGAGGAGGTCCAGTGTACACCTAAGACTTGTCAAAAATGTTGGAATAAACCCGTCCTCCAAGCCTCCTTAATCACAGGTCCCAACAGGGGTTCATCTCTGTTGAGGGAAGTGCCCCTTTGGGAGACAACCGTTTGTAGATCCTGAAGCGTGCCAACACACCATTCTCGGGAAATCAACGAGACGAACCAACGTGATGTTTGCATTTGGGCGACGCTGACTCGTGCCAGAACAACTCCAGGGACTTCAACACCGCAAATCAACGTAACTGTTGCGCCCTGGAAATCCAGACTCGCTCCAAAAGCACCACATCTGGTACTTTACTCATGGGAACCCGTGTGACTCTTCCAACTGTTTAAACCGAACGCGTGCGGCGCTAAGGCGAGAGCCACATTTTGAAAAGGAACCGCCCTTAATTCATCAAACTCACGCACATGTCAAACGAATGTGCACGGCGTGCAGGCGAGGGCCACATTCTGAAGACGGGCCGCCATCCATACGCGAAACTCTGCTCAAACAGATAATACATATATATCTATATATCTATATAGGTTCCTATCTGAATTACCTCACACCAGGGATGGCCAACACCCCCCCCCCCCCCCCCAATATATCTCTATATATATATATATATATTATATATATATATATAGGTTCCTATCTGAATTACCTCACACCAGGGATGGCCAACACCCCCCCCCCCCCCCCCAATAGAATCTGGCGGTCCCAAAGGCCCCGGAGGCTCTTCTCTGGCCCGTCCCTGAGGGCCCCGAAAAGGCTCCAGGAGAAAACCGCAAACAGTCACAATGGCTCCGAAACGCCAAAATATCCTTCCCGGACGCCCAAGATGCCCCCAAGATAGCCCAAGAGGCCTCCAAGACGCTTCAAGAGGCGGCCAAGAAGCTTCCCAAGAGGGCCCCAAGAGGCCCAAATCATTGATTTTCCATTGGAAAACATATATTTTCAGCATGTACGACTTTTCGCCCTTTACGGCGTCGAAGACGGTCCAAGATGCCCCCGAGACCGCCCCAAGACGGGCCAAGAGGCTCCAAAGAGGCTTCCCAAAACGGCCCAAGAGGCGCCCAAGACGGCCCAAGAGGGCCCCAAGACAGCCCCAAGAGGCCCCAAGAGGGTCCCAGGAGGGCCCCAGGGAGCCACCAAGGGAGCCCCAAGACGAGTCAAGGCCTCCAAGACGCCCCAAGACGGCCCAAAAGCGCACCAAGACGGCCCAAACCTGCGTTAAATAGGCCAAAGAACGTTAATATTCAGAAAACCACTAACGGAACCCAGTGACGCAAAAGGAAAGAGCGATCAGTAGCCCCCAAATCAACCCGCAAATGAGCACTAAGAAGGCCCATAGACGCTAAAGAAAAGAGCGATTGGTAGCGTACAAGCTCTGCACACCAAGGCTCCAAAGAGCGAACGGTGACATAACAACAAACTCTGACAACCAAGGCTCCCAATAGTGAGCGGCAACCTCACTATCTTTGACAACCACGGCCCCCAAGAGCGACCGGTGACGCAACCAGTCCTTCACACCAACGCTCCCAAGAGCGACAAGCGCCATGAACCATCTAGGGCAAGCCCCCCAAAAGCCACTCCTTCCGTTTCCGTGCCGGCCCAGGACATCCATGAGGCTTCATACCCACGACCCAGACACGGTGGCCCGCTGGGCCGAACGCCATTCGATCGAATGTGGATGGCCTTCCGGTTCCAACACTCCTCCTTGGAATTCCGATGTGACGTTCGTTGTGTGCCGGCACGATCGCCGCTCTGATCATCCGTTGCTGCAGGCTCAACTTCCATCACGTCAGGCCGCTCCCGTGCCACCGAAACGCTCAGTTTTAGCTTGCGCCCAATGCCACCAACTTCTATCTCTTTCTGCTTACTCCTCAACGCAGCTGCATTCGTCCTCTGACAGAACTTGGTGCAAGGAGTGCTGTTCGACTGTCAACAAAGCTGGCCTTCTCAAGCCCTGTGTCAACTGTGGGGTCGAGCTCCCTGAGACGAACTACGCGAAAAACCAATTGCTACGAACTACCAGGACGTGTCGGTGTTGCACGGAGGCCGCACTACAACAGAGTGGGACATCTAGATCAACCCTCACCTCCATTTCTTTGGGAGATATGTCCGCACAGTGCGACCACTGCGGCGCACTATGGCTTACCTCCGGGGCTCCATGTGGCCCTTCCGAAGCCGAACAAAGACGACGGCAACGTCGACCCAAACCAACCCAAATGCCGAAAGGCCCCCAAAACTGTTCCAGAAAACCGCGAGCCACTTCTAGATGACCGTCGTCGAACGCGCACCCCTGTTTTCATCACCCCACGTGCTTTGTCGTTTCGTGCGGCCCCATTGGCCTGCACATGTAGCTGCGCCTCGGCCCAATACGCCTGTTTGTCCTCCCCCCTGTGTCCCTGACAATGCACTACACCGAGACTTTAAAGCGAAGCGCAGCGAGCTTCAAGTCTTGTTTACATCTAACGAATCTCGCGGCGCTGAAGCGAGACCCACATTTTGAACACGATACGCCATCAATCCGTGAAGCTCTTTCATGTTATTAAAACGAACGCGCGCGGCGTTAACCCGAGAGCTTAGTTTCAAGAACGGCCCGCGTTCAATCCGTGATACGTTTGCTGTTTGGGGTAACGAATGCGCGCGGCGCCAAAGCGGGAGCCACATGTTGAAAGCCACCCGCCATCAACCCGTGAAACGCTTGTAATTGTTTGGGACAAATTTGCGCGGCGTAGGCGAGAGCCACATTTTGGAAACGGCCCACCCTCCACCTATGATGTACATGTCTACGGTTCAGGATCACACATGGTGGCAAGGTCAGGCGAAACGCCTGGCCGGCCCTTCCGACTGGCTTCGCTGTGGATTTATAGTTTCGAGGAAGAAATGGAATATAGGAGGAGGAGGAGGAGGAGAAGGAGGAGGGCTGGAGGAGTGCAGGGAGAGAGGGAGGGAGAGGCAGAGGGAGAGGGAAGGGGAGTGGGAGGAGGAAGCGGGTCGTTTCCATCCCTTTTCATTTTTAGGAGTCCAGATGCATTTGGCCGCCTCCAGAAGCCACCAGGCAGGTTGCGGGGAAGGAGGAGGAGGAGTTCCAGAGGGGCAGCAGGAGTACGAGGACCAGAGTAGGATGACCACCAGAGGAGGGAGACGAGGAGGAGAAGGAGTAGGAGGACGAGGCAGGAGGAGGAGGAGGAGGAGGAGGAGGAGGAGGAGGAGGAGGGGGAGGCAGGAGGAGGAGGCAGACCAGAGGACGTAGGAGACCAGAGGACGGAGGAGACCAGAGGACGGAGGGAGGCCAGATGGGGAGGAGGAGGAGGAGGAGGAGGAGGAGGAGGAGGAGGAGGAGGAGGAGGCAGGGGGAGGAGGACCTGAATTCACCCGGGATGCCTCGGCAGCGCTGCTGCACACCCTCCCGCCCGAGGCCCGTGCCCCCCCAGAAGGTAAAGCCACCTGCAGCCGATCCCATATTCTCCACGGGCGGCGCACCCCGGGCATGCGGACACCCCCCACGCCTCAGTCCGGCTGGAGCCCCACTGTGGCAGGAGGGGCACACACACACACACGCACACACACACACACGCACACACACACACACACACACACACACCCCGACACACACACACACACACACAGGCACAAGCAATCGTCGATTCCCGCAAACATGTAGGAAACTTGGGGAAGCGGGGGGGGGGGGACAGGAACCCAGAGAATAGAAGGACACGTCGGGGATCCTGATACCTGTGTGTGGATTGATTTGTGTGTCTCAGGGCCCCGTCAATTTTGGCAGGAAGCTGCCTTGCATGATTTTAGTTGCAAGCGGTGCGAAGAGGTAGCTTTTTACTGTCTGAAGGGTTGTCAAGCGATCGCCCCGTTCAGGAGAGCGCAGTCCTCCCGAACTGTTCCACGATGTCGCACACCTGGGCAACACGTTCAAGACGTATTCAACGCGAGGATGTTTCCAGTATGAACGAGCCGACGTCTTTTCATAATCTTACACTTTCGGTTATAGCCCTGGAGGGTTCAAGCGACAGCCCTGGTCCCAAACGGATCTCTTGGGTCGCACCTTTCACACGTTTGATGTGTAAGACGAGTTTGCGCGGCGCGATTGCGATATTCACAACTCGAAAACACTATGTTTCATTTACTTTGTAACTGTTTGAGTCTCCAGGCTTCACTATCATTTTAGCCAGCGTGGGCTCAACACAGTAGGGCATTGCATATTCGACGTGCGCTTTCTGTGGTACAAGCTATGTCCTGCAACGGACGAGGAGCATTCAAATGTGACCGCATTCGCGCGTGACCACCTTCGATGCCCTTCCAATCATCCCAATCGCTCGCAACTTGTTTGCAAACCTCAGCTGGGCTGCGACGAAGAAAATGTCGATTAGGATCTTCACGACTGTGGGGACGATGTCGACGACGCCGATGGTGATGGCGATTCAGCCGATGATGATGATGATGATGATGATGATGATGATGATGATGATGATGATGATGATGATGATGATGATGATGATGATGATGGCGATGGGAATGATGACGCCGTCGATGATTATGACGATGGCAGTTGTGAGGATGATGAGAACATGTGCGCGCGGAAATGTGACAAGGGGCTTTGGCTCAAGCCATTCTTGGCTTTGGCTCAAGCCATTCTTGGCTTGGACCCAAGTTGCCTTCTTCAGTCGTTTCCGCGTGGCCAGTCTGAGGACCTCCTTGCGCATTTCGCTGCAATGGCAAATGAGACGTATGGCGGCGGCATCTACCAGAACCCGATGAACCCCAAGGAGATCTGGGCCAACATTTGTGAGAATGCGCAGGGAAACCAGCTATTCCCGCTGTGGGAACCCGCACTTGGGGCATACGTGTCTGAGGGCGACTACAATAAGATCATGGACGCCCTCCGGTCCGAGTTTGCAAACACCCCACCCCGAATTTTCACTTACAAGTTTGCTCCTATCTGCTCTGCTACTTACGCTGGGAATCCTCTCCTGTCCTGTGTGCTATGAGAAAATGAAGATCAACTGGTTCAATGCGAAGCTGAAGGAGCTTCCCGGCAGTCTGGGATTGACTGGGGTTCGCATTGAGTTGACGGAGGTGTCGGGCTTCGAGGAGAATTGAGTGGATTCGAAAGGGCAGCCTTTGATGTGCCTGCGGAGGCAGCATGGGGCCCGCCTTCACCCTAGGGGGCCACCTCGGGGCTACAACGTCATTTTTACCTTGCCGGTAAGTCTGTCATGGCCGCCCAATGGCGCGCCAGGACAACACATGATGGCGGCCCCAACGACCGCCGTTGTCATTGGGGCTCAATACGACGCCCAGAAGATCATGTCGCTCAAGCAGTTGCTCGACGCAGGTGCGCTTACTCAGGAAGAGTTCGACGCGAAAAAGCAGCAGCTCATGGATCAGATGTGAGCGTGGTGACATCTATGGGGCCTCAGCTGGATACCAGTGTAAAGCCGCCAGCGCCGTAGAATCTGAGGCCTCAACCGCACTTTCTTTTTTTACTTACCAGCGAAGACTGATAGGTTTCTAATGGTCTCAAAAGAAAGCATCATGACTCCCCAGGGGGGGTCTGGGCAGGATCCGGGGAGAATCCGCGGAAGTCGTTTTAAGCAAACAGTTACACACTTCGTGGTCTTCGAAGTCCCAGAACTCCATTCTGGGGACACATTCTGAATGCCCGGAGCCAACTGTAGGCCACTTCGTGTTCTTCGGATTCCCAGAACTCCATTCCTGGGCATGATTTTGAATGCCCGGAGCCAACTGTAGGCAACTTCGTGGTCTTCGAGTTCCCAGAACTCCATTCCTGGGCATGATTTTGAATGCCCGGAGCCAACAGTAGGCCACTTCGTGGTCTTCGAGTTTCCAAAATTCCATTCCTGGGCATGATTTTGAATGCCCGGAGCCAACTGTAGGCCACTTCGTGTTCTTCGAGTTCCCAGAACTCCATTCCGGGCCACATTTTGAATGCTGAGGCAGGCTGAGGCTGAGGCTGAGGCCTGAGGCTGAAGGCTGAAGGCAGACTGAGGCTGAGGCTGAAGCAGAGGCTGAGGCTGAGGCAGGCTGAGGCTGAGCAGGCTGAGGCTGAGGCAGGCTGAGGCTGAGGCCGAGGCTGAAGGCAGACTGAGGCTGAGGCTGAAGCAGGCTGAGGCTGAGGCTGAGGCAGGCTGAGGCTGAGGCTGAGGCAGGCTGATGCTGAGGCAGGCTGAGGCTGAGGCTGAGGCTGAGGCCGAGGCTGACTGCTGAAGGCAGACTGAGGCTGAGGCAGGCTGAGGCTGAGGCTGAGGCAGGCTGAGGCTGAGGCAGGCTGAGGCTGAGCCGAGGCTGAAGGCAGACTGAGGCTGAGGCTGAGGCAGGCTGAGGCTGAGGCTGAGGCAGGCTGAGGCTGAGGCTGAGGCAGGCTGATGCTGAGGCAGGCTGAGGCTGAGGCTGTGACTGCGACTGCCGTTGCCACTGCGACTGTCATCGCGAATGCGACTGCGACTGCGAGAACAGCAGAATTCTACAACTGGATTCTCATCTGAATCTTAAGAGGAATGCTTCCAGATATGCTCCTACACATCGCTGTTAGGTTGCTTTGCCGGGATAATTTTCCCAACCATGATGTGGTTTGGGTCCTCGTTGCCCCCTCCCTCCTCCCATCCCTGCTTCTGTTTTCCGCATGTCCACCATTTCGGCGCACCCCTCACAAGATCCGTGGCCCCATAGGGAGGTCCACCGAAGGCCCAAGAGGGTGCGTCCACATGCGTCTCAGGCATCGATTTCGGCACACCTCTAACACGGTTCGTGGCCCCATGGGGAGCTCCACCGAAGACCCCAGTGGCAGGGTTTACATGCGTCCCCGCGATTGATTTCGGGACACCCCTAACACGGTTCGTGGCCCAATAGGGAGTTCCACCGAAGGCCCCAGCGGCAGGGTGTACGTGCGTCCCCGCGACTCATTTCGACACAACCCTCACACGGTTCTTGAAACTATCGGGGGTTCCACCGAAGGCCCCAGTGGTACGGTTTACATGTGTCCCCGCGACTCATTTCGCCGCACCTTTCACACGCTTCGTGGCCCCATGGGGAGCTCCACCGAAGGCCCCAACGGCAGGGTTTACATGCTTCGTCGCGGTTCATGTCGGCGCACCTTTCACACGGTTCGTGGCCCAAAAGGGAGCTCCACCGAAGGCCCCAACGGCAGGGTTTACACGTGTCTCCGCGTCTCTGACGGCACACTCCTCACACCGTTCGTGGCCCCGTAGGTAGCTTCACGCACGGCCCCAACGGCAGGGTTTACATGCGTCCTTGCGATTCATGTCGGCACACACCTTACACGGTTCGTGGCCCCATAGGGAGCTCCACCGAAGGCCCCAGCGGCAGGGTTCACACGAGTCCCCACGAGTAAGTTTGTCACACCACTCACACGCGCGGTTCGTGGCCCCATGGGGAGCTCCACCGAAGGCCCCAACGGCAGGGTTTACGTGCGTCGTCGCGGTTCATGTCGGCGCACCTTTTCACACGGCTCGTGGCCCAAAAGGGAGCTCCACCGAAGGCCCCAACGGCAGGGTTTACACGTTTCCCCGCGTCTCTGACGGCACACCCCTCACACCGTTCGTGGCCCCTATAGGGAGTTTCGCGCAAGGCCCCAACGGCAGGGTTTACATGCGTCCTTGCGATTCATGTCGGCACACACCTTTCACACGGCTCGTGGCCCAAAATGGAGCTCCACCGAAGGCCCCAGCGGCAGGGTTCACACGTGTCCCCACGAGTAAGTTTGTCACACCCCTCACACGCGCGGTTCGTGGCCCCATGGGGAGCTCCACCGAAGGCCCCAACGGCAGGGTTTACATGCGTCCTCGCGGTTCATTTCGGCGCGCCTTTCACACGGCTCGTGGCCCAAAATGGATCTCCACCGAAGGCCCCAGCGGCAGGGTTTACACGTGTCTCCGCGTCTCTGACGGCACACCCCTCACACCGTTCGTGGCCCCGTAGGGAGCTCCACGCAAGGCCGCAACGGCAGGGTTTACATGCGTCCTTGCGATTCATGTCGGCGCACACCTTACACGGTTCGTGGCCCAATAGGGAGTTCCACCGAAGGCCCCAGTGGCAGGGTTTTCATGCGCCCCCGCGATTCACTTCGAGGAAGAGACGCTTGCGCGAGGCTCCTGGAATTTGCAATTTTCCACGGCGCAAGGCCCCCTGGACCTCTCGACCCCATCCCATGGACAATATAAATATGTTAAGGTTCGGGTATTTTTTCATAGCCCTGGACCCCAAACAAAGGCTTCCGGAAGATGCGATCGAGGAAGATCCGCCAGGATCGAACGTAGCGCAACGTTGGCGGTGAAGGCCCCTTCTACATCGCTCAGACCTCCGACGTTGCGATGTTTCGCACGGCGCAATGCCCGTGGACCTCTCGACCGCATGCTGGGGACCAGTCCCAGGGCCCAATGTGCTTCTGGATGCCGCGACCGAGGAAGAAACGAAGAGATCGGACGTATCACGTCGGGGGTCGAGGCAATTTCAAAATCGACCCAAGGACCCGTCCAGTCTATTTGCGCCTGAGACATCGCCCCGCGTCCCTCCTCCTCTCCTTTTCCCCCTCCTCCCTCCTCCTCCTCCTCCTCCTCCTCCTTCTCCTCCTCAGTCCATCCTCGATCAGCATCGTCATCAGCATCATCAGCATCAGCATAATCATAATATCCACCATCAGCATCATCACCATCATCATCATCATCACCACCATCATCATCATCATCATCATCATCATCATCATCATCATCGTCATCATCATCATCATCTTCATCATCATCATCATCGCGGAGTGGTCGCCGAGACAGCCTTCGCGAAAACCTACGCCGACATCATCTCCATGCCGCTTCTGCCATCCTACCGGGACGTGCTTGTGCCCGAGTCGCAGGCAGGGTGCGTGAAAGGACGTGGCACGGCTCCCGCAGAAGCCGCCGCCGCGGGTTGGACCTCTCGGCATCACGCCACTCTCTGCGCTGCTGGGCCATCCTTTTCCTAGACCTCAGCAAGGCCTTCGACACGGCTTTCAGGGAGTTGGCCCTGGGTCCGAGGGACGTTTCGCTCACGAAGCTCATCCCCGCTTTGATGCAACGAGGCGTCCCGCCTGATGCGGCCAGCGCCGTCCACGAGTACCTCAAAGTCCACGGCCCCAGAGTGCTCGATGACGCAATCGAGCCGGCGGCGGCCCAGCTGATCGCAGATTGGCACACTGCCACATGGTCGCACGTGCGATCCAACGACGGACGCGACGTCACGCCAGTCACTGACGACACGCCGGTTGCCTCGTCGACCATCGCAGCGCGCCAGGGCGACAAGCTCGGCGCCATCATCTTCAATGTCATCTGCGACATCCTGCTGGCCGAGGTGCGCGAGAGGCTCAAGGAGCTTGGCGTCTCGTCCCGCATGGCCGTCCCCACGGATGGCGTGCCCTGGCACACCAACGTCAACCCAGAAAGCGACCTGGAGGAGATCACCGATGACCAGTCCACGTACGTCGACGATTTATTGGAGCTCTTCGAGGCGGACACGCCAGCACAGCTCATCGACAGCCTCACGCAGGCCGTCAACGTGTTATACGATGTGTTATCTCGCTACGGCCTCAAGATCAACTTCGGCCCGGAGACGACGGCCATCATGCTGCGCCTCTTCGGAGTGGGCGCCCGCGCGGCATACAATCAGCTTCGAGATGAAGCAGGCGACATAGGGCTGGACACCAACGCCGGGCGCTGCGGCATCGTGCACCATTACAAGCACGGTGGGACGACCCTTCAGACCTTTGGGCGATCGATGCTCGACGCCCAGGCGAAGGCCACCAAGATGCAGAAGACCTACGGCCCTATGGCCCACACCGTCTTCGGCTCCTGCCACCTCTCGAAGGCGACCCGCGCTTCCCTGGCGTGCTCGCTTCTGGACTCCCAGCTCCTCTTTGGCGCAGAGCTGTGGTTGCAGGACGACCCGGTGGCCAAACGCCGCACGCAGGCGGCCTACATGCGACCGCGGCGGCAGGTCTTGGGACACCTTCGATTCGGCCACACCGACGTCAGCGGTGACCAGGTGTGCACGCAGCTCGGGCACTCCGCCCTGGACATGGCGATCACATGCAGGCGACTACGGCTGCTGCCGGTTTTGCTGGACGGCCCAGCTTACCTTCGTGCCATCCATTGTGCGGAGCCTAAGCGGCCGCATGCCCGCCTCCTCCTCGACGACCTCATCATGCTCTGGGAGCACTCCGAGGAACTGCGCCATCTGCCGTCGCCGGCGGTGGCACCAGCGCAGTGGGCACGCTATATCACAGCATCCCGCCCACATTGGAAGAGGATTGTGAGGGCGATCGCTTTCCTCCCGAATCGCCCGGGGGCCATTGCACAGCAAGCCCCCCCAGCAACGGCTGCCGAAGTCGAAGAGGCCGAAGCCCAGCGCTCGACCCTGACCCGGGCGCAACAGCTTCTCCAGTGCGACCTGTCTCACAAGCGGTGCAGGGGATGGCGCGGCCTCGCAGGCCACCGGCACCGAGCCCATCGCATAGTTGCCACGGCTCGGGCATATTGCATCACGTCCACATGCCCAGCATGCGGCAAAAACTACGGATCCCGACCGCGGGCTTTCCACCACTTGCAGTGCAGCTCCCAGGTTTGCCGTGAGACGATACGCACGGGCCGGCTCC